CTAAAGTCCTAAGAGCCAGCCAGAAGAAAGCCAAGAAGCCTTGGCGCGTGCCCCCGGGTCCCGGTGGTCCTTGTCTTGGGACGGCGTCTCCTGTCCCCTTGCAGAGTTGGGCTCGTCGCGGGCCTCATTCTTCAGGGTCGCCTGGGCAAACTTAAACCCTAAACCCTAAACCCGAAACCTAAACCCTAAACCCTAAACCCTAAACCCTAAACCCATTCTTCAGGGTCGCCTGGGCAAACTTCCACCTGGACACGGCGAGATTTTGCAAGGCGTCCTCCTTCTCCTGGCTGGTTCTTAGTAGGGAATGAGGGAATGAGGTACCCTATAGAATCCCTTAAACGGTACACATATATATATGTATGAAAAAAAAAATATATATATATATACATATATGTATACATATAATTAGGGCCCGAATTCCCTCGTTCCCTACTTAGAACCCGGGGGGTCTCCTTGCGGAGCAGCTCGGCGTTGTGCTCCGCCTCTTCCCACCTCGTCTTGTAGCTCTCCATCATGTTCTGCAGCGTGCCCACTTGCGCCTGCAAGTCCGAGGCGTTGCGCGGCGACCCGCTGAGCTGCTCCCTCAAGCTTGCCAACTCCTCACTCAAGCTCTGGACCAGTTTTACAGTGTCCCTCCTTTCCGCGCGCCTTGCGGCGACCTTGATGGTCTTCACCGTGCTCGCAAAGTTCAGGGTCACCAAGCTCTCATCCAGATTCACCAGAGCTGGGCTCACCGTTGCCAGTAAGCAAGTCTTCGAGTTGCCCGTCAGGGCATTGATGAGCAGCAGCGTGAGCTTTGAATTCCGGAATCTGGCGCGGTTCGATCCCTCGACCTCGCTACCCACACTACTACTCCGCCTGCGCGCCTGCGCCTGCTTGCCGAGCGCCTGGATGCACTGGGCAAGCCACATGAGGCTTCGGTTGATGAAGGTGAGCTCCGTGAAGTTTTGCCCCGTGACCTTCGTGGTCTTCTCATTCTCCCGCCCGGCCAAGTCGACGCAGAAAAGCTCAGAAGTCACCACTGTGTGGTCTTCCTCGTGCCTTTCGATGACGAGTCGGAAAACCACATGCCCGCGAGAACTCCGGGCATTTCTGGCCGTTGCTGCGACACTCGCCCTCGACAAACCAGAGTCCAGCAACTTCTGCACCTGATCAACGGCTTCAACCTGCGCATCGACAGCGCCATCAACGTACACGCCAATCCGTGGGTGGACGTGAATCTCGGGAGACTTGCCGGTGTCTTTGTCGTCAAGCAAGTCCCTGACCTTCTCGTTGTAGATTTCCAGAATCTGCACGCGGCAGTCCACCTGTGGGGCATTCCGAGGCTCGTGTTTGGGATCTGAGAAAGTTCTACCCAAGGTTCAGGACACGCAGCGCGGGGAAGGACCGTGTTGGGCAAGGTCCCCACACCTAATCCCCTCCCCACCGCCCCGGCACTTTTTGAGACGTGCATCAGGACCAGCCCTGCCTGCCATGGGCCGCACCAACACCCCCCCACCCCCACCCCACCCACCCCAACCCCCCCCCCCCCTTGCAGAAGCTCAGGCCGAGGGGGGTCGCGTAGCGTTAACATTGGACCCCGTAGCTATGCAGCCGTCATGCCCCTCTCCCCAAACAGCCGCGGTTTAGGGTTTAGGGTTTAGGGTTTAGGGTTTAGGGTTTAGGGTTTAGGGTTTAGGGTTTAGGGTTTAGGGTTTAGGGTTTAGGGTTTAGGGTTTAGGGTTTAGGGCAAAAAAGAGCGTAAACCATCCTGAGCCACCTTGAAACGAGAGCATAAGAAGCAGGTTTTTGGAGGAAGAAACCCGGTTCCCCAAAAGCCCCAAAGAGTGGACCGAAGCCCTAAACCCGAAGCCCTAAACCCTAAACCCTAAACCCTAAACCCTAAACCCCGGAAGCGACCTTGCGCACTTGCTCCAACTCGCTGAACAAGTCGCGCAGGAGCCGGGGGAGCAGTCCTTGCTCAGCCGTGCTCTTCTTTCCTCGGATGGCCCCTTAGACCCGTTTAGGGTTTAGGGTCTAGGGTCTAGGGTTCAGGGTTTAGGCTATGGGGCTTTTTTGGGGGGGTTTAGGGTTTTAGGGTTTTAGGGTTTTAGGGTTTTAGGGTTTTGGGTTTTGGGTTTTGGGCCTTGAAAAAATTGTTCCTAAACATGATCCCGGCTTCCCATGAAAGAGAAGGTCTTCCCACTACCCGTCTGCCCGTAGCAGAACAAGCAGGCGTGGTACCCTGAGATCGAATGCTGCACCATTCGACGCCCAATCATGTCATAGCACTTCCTTGGCTGACTTCTGAACCCCTCCCAAAAGTTTAGGGTTTCGGGTTTAGGGTTTAGGGTTCAGGGTTTTAGGGTTTAGGCTCCTTCTTGAAATTCCTACCAAAAACCCAGAAAGGTTTAAGTCCCAAAAGCCGGCCAGAAGAAAGCCAAGCTTCTCTTGGGAGACATGGTTTGGCTTCGAAGGGTCCATGCTGTCCATGACGCAATCGAAGGCATACTCTTTCTTCTTGTCCGGCGCGCGCACGGAGATGACATTTCGGGAAGGTGTGAGGCACTGCTGCTTCCCTTCATACCCGAGGAAGGGGCGCAGTCGAACTCCGACAAAGATCGTGTCATCAACCTTCCCCCCCGCCCTGGGAGTCTTCGCCATGTTCGAAGCCAGCCTGGCTTTCGCGGGTGGAGTCCATGCTCAAAGCATGTGGGAAGCTGAGCTGATCAGTTCTAAGGCTGATGAGCATGTGCTTTGCAGCTGGCTGCAACAAGACGAAGGTCGTGCATCGTCATGACGAAAGCCCTTAACCCTAAACCCTAAACCCGAAGTACTGCGTGCAGTTGCAAGTGGGGCAGGTAAGCCCTCACTCTCGAGCCGAGGGAATTCATGCCGCGCCGCAAATCTTGACTCCTGCCACATGGCAACATAGCATTAAGCAGCAAAATCCCGGTCTCAGCCAATCCGATAATCCACAAAAGATTTCAGCCGTAGTATCAGTGCCCCACATCATTCCCAAAAGGTCACAACTCTCAGACATGGTCATGTAGGGGGTCCTTGCTATAAGGCGGCCCCTATTCATGAAGGGACCGCAGTTTAGAAAGCTCACCATGTGGCCATCCCCATACCTCTGGCTTTTTGCATGGCGTCACGGATTGCAGGGCTTCGCGTTGGGTTTCTGCCCAGAAACATGCAGCCCGCTCCGGCTTCTGAGAGCAGCGCAACAGAAACAAGCCTAAGCAGCCGCAAGAACATGAGATGAACATGCACCAAACCCTAAACCCTAAACCCTAAACCCTAAACCCTAAACCCTAAGCCCTAAGCCCTAAACCCTAAACCCTAAACCCTAAACCCTAAACCCTAAACCCAAGGGTATAACCTGGGCCAAGCATACTGCGGCTTGTTTGGTAAGGGCCACACACTATGCGGCGCTCGGATATGTAGAGCAGACTCCGAAATTTCTGAAAAGGTGATCCTGCACTCAAGTAGCACTCCAGGGCCTCTAGGGTCTAATGAAGACCACGTCTGACAGCGCCCGGAAAATGGACGTGTGGGCGGTCTCGATGCGACGACTCTGTGGGCCCGCCCACGCCCCGTAGAAGGAAGCCTTGGGCGACATACGCGATGCGGGTGACAGGACGGATGGGGAACGTGATGGCGTCTTGTCCCTGGTAGTGCATACGAACTTCACCTGCCCACTCCAAAGGCAATCATGCAGCATACGGCACCTCACAAGAGTTTCTCTCACTGCATTGATGAAACTGGCGATGATATAGGCGAGCCAACGTGGACGATAGCGTGTGCAAAGGTAGGATGCAGCTTTATGGGTCGCCCATGGCACGAGTAGGAGCAAGAGAAACCAGACTGGTAGAGCGACTGTGGTGCCCATGACTGTTGTCACAAGTACCGGATTGAAGGCGCACGGCCGGGATTTCAACACAAAGGCTGGCGTCCACATGAAAAGGGCGAATGCCCAAATCTGGAATGCGACCCAGTCCAAGTAGACGTTTACCCGTAAACCCTCAACCCTAAACCCTAAACCCTAAACTAAACCCTAAACCCTAAACCCTAAACCCTAAACCCTAAACCCTAAACCTGGCCACCAGATTCGCCTGCAGAGGCATGGTGCCGATCTCTGAACGGTCGGAGCGAGGCCCGGCGCAGACTTTCAGCGGACACCATGGTATCGACCCTGGTAGCCCGAGTAACCATCTTATAATAAGGGTACCCTTTTTGGAATTGCTCATTTTTAGAAAGGAACCCCCAGAGTCCAAAAAGGGCAAAAGGGTACCACTCAGCTACCAAGCGACATCATTGAGAAGAGCAAAGTTGAACGTGCTCCAGCTTCGGTCGTGGCGCAGCCCGAACTTCTCTGGCCGACGATTGAAGCAAGGTCACACCGCCGTCGCAGGTTGAGTTTCCAACCTCGCCGGACTGACCTGCCGCTGCCACCCGCGCGCTCACGAAGACGAGAAACCACAGCATGGCAAACACGAAAATAGGGAAACCTTGCAGGGGCAAGGTGCCGCGTTAGAACCTCCCGGCACGTTTTCTGAGAGGATGGCGGCTGCAAGCGCATCCAAGGTTCAGTCCGCCACGCCATGCATCAGTTCGTGCATATGACATCCCAAAACTCCAAGAAGGTGGTGATATTGGCAAAACGAATCTGAGATTGTGCATGTCGATCTCGCCTAAGGACTAGACTGCAGGTGTCCCGAAAGCGTGTTGACAAAAAAGAAGCCAAGACTTGTCCCGCAGTACCACAAGCAGGGGAGAATCCAAAAGACCAATCAGGAGACGCAAGTGCGCAATACCTTATGTGATGAACAAAGCCTTCGTACGAAAAAACTACGACGGCCGCATCTCTTTGAAGACCGGGTGCAGCATGCCATGCAACTTCTCTCACGTACGGTGCACTATCAGAAACTCAGGAGCAGCAAGCAAAAGCCTAAAGCTAAGCTATCTGAGGAGTCTTGCCGAAGTAAGCCCACGTTATCTGATGCACGGAGGCCCTAAAAAACCCTAAAGCCCAAGCCCACGTACTCAACAAGGGTGCAGCCGCTTTTACTTCTGAGAGCGGCGCAAAAGAAGCAAACCTAAGCCGGTCGGATAAACCAAAGTTTCTCCAGGTCCTGCACTCAATTCGCACTCTCGGGCTCCATCAGGGCTACGGAAGACCACGTCTGACAGCGACCGGAAAATAGACGCGTGGGTGGTCTCGATGTGGCTATCCCGACTCTGTCGGCCCCGCCGCCGCCAAGTCACCGTAGAAGGAAGCCTTGGGCGACATACGCGATGCGGGTGACAGGACGGATGGGGAACGTGATGGCGTCTTGTCCCTGGTAGTGCATACGAACTTCACATGCCCACTCCAAAGGCAATCATGCAGCATACGGCACCTCACAAGAGTTTCTCTCACTGCATTGTAAGCCAATGGGGCGATGAAACTGGCGATGATATAGGCGAGCCAACGTGGACGATAGCGTGTGCAAAGGTAGGATGCAGCTTTCTGGGTCGCCCATGGCACGAGTAGGAGCAAGAGAAGCCAGACTGGAAGAGCGACTGTGGTGCCCATGACTGTTGTCACAAGTACCGGATTGAAGGCGCACGGTCGGGATTTCAACACAAAGGCTGGCGTCCACATGAAAAGGGCGAATGCCCAAACCTGGAATGGCTTTTTGACCCAGTCCAAGTAGACGTTCAGCATCTTTGGAAATGCCGAGATGTGCTTGGAGCGGACAAGCCATGTATGTGCTCGCTGTTTCTGGACCTGTCCGTTGTACCAGCGGGTGCGCTGACTAAGCCAGTTCTGAAAGTCTGGTGGCTCACGCTCTTGACACAGGATGTTGGCATCAGCCGCACCTGTAAAGCCATAGTAAGCCCAGCCTCGGAGCATGGCATCGTGATCTTCCCCAACGGTGCGATGGTCGAAAGCGACCCTTCTTGATGGCATCCGTTCGCCAGAAGGAGCCTCGGCCGTGGCAGAATGGCATCTGCAAGTGTGGGTAGATGAACTCATTTTCCGAAACCAAGGCATCCATGCAGGTTGTTAGGGGCCCATAGGGGTAGAATCCCGTGTCGGTGAGGCCGGCAAAGTCTTCCCAGCAGTGCACCTGGGATGACTCAGGGCTTTCTTTGATTTATCGGATGTACCAGGTTTATGGTTTACGGGGTTTACTTATGGGGCTTACGATCGGCTTCTTGGGTATAGGGTTTAGGGGGGCGCCAGTACCACGAAACAAACCAGCACCGCGATTGGAACCTGGCCACCAGGTTCGCCTGCACAGCATGGTGGCCGTCTCTGAACAATCGGAGCGACGCCCGGCACATACTTTCAGCGGACACCATGGTGTCGACATCATTGAAAAGGGCAAAGTCGGTTTCGAGCAGCTCGACGGCCAGATTCAAGTTGTCGCACTTCGACGTTGACATGTGGTTGCGGTGCACCTCAAGGGCAGGCCACTCCGCCTCGAGTTCGAGCAGCTTCTGCTCAATCCAAGTATGCTCCTGAGGCGAGTTCCACACAAGCATGACCCGCAGGCAGCCTGGATACTTGGCTGCTTCTTCTCGGTAGACCTCCAGGCAATCCAACAAGATGTCCTCCTCGTTGGGCATGTACGCGGGAATCACGACCGTGATGGAACGGCACTTGTGGCTCTGGAGTTGCTTTAGAAGATCAGAGTCGGGGCCTTGGTCGGGCGCCAAGGCCGGCACCTCATAGGGCCCCGTCCGGTAAGCCTGCAAGAGTGGGTCTTGCTCATACCACGTCTTCATTCGGAGGTATGTTGCGTAGAAGGCCGTTATGTTGTAAAGGGCGTAGACGAGACATTGGAAGATCACTGCACTTGCTGCAACCTGGTGGAAGGTGCCATCACTGACCTGCGCAATCATACGCAAACCCAGTGTACGGCACATGTGAACCCCTGAAGCTTCAGCGCTTGTCATACATACCCCCTTTCCCCTGTTTCCCCTCACATCCTGCAACTTTACAGAGAAATGCTCTATCGAGGGGGGCAAAGAGGGGTACGAGAGATGAGTTCAGGTGCATGGAACACGGGGTACAGTACGGAGGTACGAGTGGTACGGCTGTCATGCCAAATCGTGGAAATGTCACGCTAAATTTGGGGTACAAATGTCGTACCTCCGTACCGTGCCCTTCGTACTATGCAGGGCGTACCCACCTCTATCCATTGCAAAATTGGCATCCGTACCTCACGTATTGTCTTCGATAGAAACACACCCTTTCATTGCTCTTGAAATTAGCCGAAAGCCAACCCTACAGTACAGCACCGTAGACGCTTGGGATGCTTAGACTGCACGCCTGGGCTGTGTCATTCTCCGGCCCCTCGCTGCATAGATACACGAACAGGAGGACCCTGACCTGGTCTGCAAGGAAGAAGCATCCGGTGATGAGCCAGCGGAGATACTTGGACTCCACCCACTCCGCGTAGGGTCCCAGCCAGCCATGTCGTGGTCGGTTCAGATCGAACTTCAAGGGCTCAAAAGGTGGCAACCGCACGTCATGGTCAATAGCAAGCTCAGCCATGACTCCCACTGACGAGACCTGGGTTTAGGGTTTGGGGTTTAGGGCTGAGGGTTTTGGATTTAGGGTTTATGCAGAACCCGGATGAACCCGGGCCCTCTGACTTTGCGGCGGCTGACCCTAGTTCATGAATGCTGTGCGCAGCGCAGCTGCGGCAGAAGAAACAGCTCGGGCGCGCACCGCCAAAAGCAAGAGAAGGCTTGCAACGAAAGTACCGAGGCTGGCATAGATTGCGCGGCGGACGAGAAAGAAGCGAACGGCCTGCACAGCTTGCCAAGCTGTGATGATGTGCCTCTGGTCCTCCCAGCGGGCAAAGAACGCGAAGAGAATGAAGCTAGCCAGAGTTTCCACCATCAAGCCCGGAAGGATTTCCCGGGTCGTCTGCAACTTTCCGGTTGCGAAGAGCAGAACCAGCACCGAGTTCAACAGAACGTCCACGACGCAGGCGCAAGTGACTCCAAATGGCCACGAGCTCTTCGAGGGAGGAGGCCATAGTGCGGGAACATCCATATCTTCATCTGTCACACGTGTCGCCTACTAGGGACCCGGGGCTCCACCAAGGCCAACCCACCATTCATATCAATATGGTTTTCGGGCTTAGGGCCCGCGTTGGAGGGTTTAGGTTGAGGGTGGAAATGGGCTGATAGAATCACGCACACACAAGGACGATCTAAGACGATCGAACAGACCCCTCATCTGCTCCCCCCCCCCCCCCGGCCTTCGACGCCTTGCTCTTCCTCTTCGGCAGAACCCACTGTGCTGCTGAAACGACCCTACGGTTTAGGGTTTAGGGTTTAGGGTTTAGGGTCTAGGGTCTAGGGTTTAGGGTTTAGGGTTTAGGGTTTAGGGTTTAGGCTGCCAAGACCAGGAAGATCAGCATGGGGGGCACCAGGATGCCTCGGATAGCCCTGAAGACCCTCTGAAAGATACGGTTTAGGGTTTAGGGTTTAGGGTTTAGGGTTTAGGGTTTAGGGTTTAGGGTTTAGGGTTTAGGGTCTAGGGTTTAGGGTTTAGGGTTTAGGGTTTAGGGGAAGGTATAAGATCTCCAAAGGGCCGACCTAGCTGCATGAGATGACCCCAATGACGAACACACTGCACAGCGCTCGTAGGACTGCAGACCTCAAGGTCGGAGCAGGATCTTAGCTCAGGACAGGCCGATACATGCTCGCATCGAGTGCGACCGTGATGTGATGACCCTTCCACTTCACGAAGCCGCCCGACTTGCCCCACTGCCACTCAACGTGCTCTGGCTTCGGTCGTGGCGCAGCCCGAACTCCTCTGGCCGAAGATTGAAGCAAGGTCACACCCACACCGCCGTCGCAGGTAGAGTTTCCAACCTCGCAGGACGCTGCCACCAGCGCGCCCACAAAGACGAGAAACCACAGCATGGCAAACACGAAACTATGAAACCTTGCAAGGGCAAGGTACCGTGCCAGAACCTCCCGGCACGATTTCTGAGAGGACGGCGGCTGCAAGTGCATCCAAGGTTCAGTCTGAAGGCCCAGCATGCACGCATGCACACACACACACACAAACACAAACGCAAACACAAATACTGAACCTGAAGCTTTCGAGAGCTGCTTTTCAATGCCTCAAACTCGATAAGAACGTCCGGCAAGTCAGTCCGTCTGCATTGGGCCATTTGCCCGGGTCTTCCAAGATGGGCAAGTCCCAAACACAACGACCCGCATCGTTTTTCAGGGATGGATCTGCTCGCCGCTCCAGCAGCAGGCAGCACATGGCCCAGTTCCGGCCATTTACTGCGAAGTGCAGCGGGGTACCTCCAGAGGAGCCGCGCGCATCGAGCCGAGATCCTGCATCAATGAGCCTGGCACCCACTGCTCGGGTCTTCTCTGGACAGATGCTGCTCCAGTGAAACGCCAGAGAGTGCAGCGCGGTGTCATGTCCTGAGCTGGGCTGATCAGAAGCGCCCGCCTCGAGCAATGCGTCCCACACACCCTGAAAATCGGGAGAGTTGCTGAACGGCGCATGGCCAGCCTCGTTTTGTGACCACTTTTTAACGCAGAGCTGCAACGGGGATGCCCCTTGCTCTGTGAAAGTGTTTGGGTCCCCAGCAGCTTGCAGCAGGGCACGCACGCAGCCAGAATAGCCGCCGAGTGCTGCCAAGTGCAAGGCAGAAAGGCCTCCCAGAGGCTTCTTACAAGCACTTTTCCCAAGCCTCTCAAGAATAATCTGCTGGTACCAGACCTTCTTTGGGTCCGCATGAGCTACCCGTGGCATGGTGCTCATCATCCAGCCGGCTGGGGCCGTTTCTGCTGAAGCACGCTTCTCCAGCAAGAGCTCCAGACAATCCTGATGACCCTGCGCAGCAGCAAGTTGCACAGGCTTCAGGCTCCACAGCTTCACGTCCCTCACCTCCTTGCGTGCGCGCAACAGAACCTCCAGTGAGGCACGATGTCCAAGATAGCTGGCAAGTTGCAGCGCCGTCCATCCCTCCCTGTCACTGGCATTCACGTCGGCTCTCGCCTGCAGCAGAAAGCTCAGAGCACCTGAGGCGCTTCCCAGCGCCAGGGCGTGGACTGCCACGGCCAGCACCGGTGTCCTGCGCAAGGCGCACGGGGAGGGCCTCCCCGCGCCCTGGTTGCTGACATGGTCAAAGACGTCGAAGCCATGTGAGCCAAGCAGCTCGGGATGGAGATGGGCCATGTACTGAAGCACCGGAACCTCATTTGCTCGCACTGCGGCGCAGAAGTATGCGCTCAGCGGGCCCCATCGCGAATCCTGGGACGTCTTCCAGAAGTGCTTCTCCAGGGTGTTGAGCGCCGCGAGCGCGCACCGCCCGAAGCTGTCGCAAGGGTTTCGCAGGAGCCTCTCGAAGCTCTCGGCCGGTAGCACTCTCTGTGAGCCGCTCCCAGCATCCCTTCGCAACTGCTCGCACCTTGGGCAAAGCACGGGCCGCAAGACCCTCGGCCCCACATCCTGCCCAATGCCACGCTCACTCCAGGGCCGCTGCAGCTCTGCACAACTCACCCGGCGAAGCGTCACCTGCTCAGAGGCTTGCTTCAACACCTCCTTCGTTGTCCAGGATTTCCTAGGGACTTGAAGCTTAACCTTTCGGGTTTTTTTGTAGGGCTTATCAGGCCCCCAAAGAGGTTAAAGGCTGCTTACTCTACTACCCAAGCCTCCTCCAGCGACTTGCCGCTGAGGGAAGTAAGGCTGCCCGCAATCTGCTGCCCCAGGCTGTCCTCCTGGCTGTCGCTGATGCAGGTGCCCCTGTCCCCTGCCCACCTTAGTTGTCCAGTAACCTGGGAGAACTGAAGGTTAACCCTTGGGATTATTAAGGGATTCTACTACCCCAAAAAGGTTAAAGGTTACCTACTACTGTACTAGGCCACACAACGTAGAAGTTCCCACGCCGTGACTCCGCCACCGGTGCTGCGGGCAGAGTTTGCATGGGGAGTGCCGCCGCCTTCGCGGGTGTCGCGCGGAAGGTGCTGTCCAGGGCGTTCTCACGGCAGCAGTCGGGCACGGCGAGCAGCGCCACCTTGGGGCCCAGCAATCGCCCCCGCACCTGCGAGAAGGAGACCCGCCCCTCTAGCATCAGCATCTCCAGGTCGCCATGAGACTCACGGCCATGGCCCGCGTAGTAAAAAACCACCAGGTGCTCAGCCGAAATCTTCAGGTATTGCTCCAGCTCCTGCAGCTTCTTCCAGAACTCGTCTTCGGTGACATCTTCGCACAAAGTGACCTTGAAACCCGACATCAACAAGGCCTGAGTTGCGCGTTAAACCCTTTGACAACTCTCTGTGAACAGGTTCCCTTTTAAGGGAAGAAAGGGATATTAACAAAAGATCCCAAAGCGCAACTCAGAGGCTTCTTGGAGCATGCGACCTGGCTCAGCCGTGTTCGGGAGATCTGGGAGCCCTGTCTCGTGCTCCGAGTACCTGGGAGGACCGATGGCCCGTATACCGTCATAGGAAAATATAGTAGCATAGGGCAAAAGATGGCCCATATACCGTAATAGGAAATATAGTAGTATAGGGCATATGACCCCGAAACCACCCCCCCAATTGCAGGGTTCATTTTAGTCCCGCAGGAACACTCCAAATCCCAGACGAAGGGATTAGAGTCGTATAGGGTATGACTTGGGATGTTCCCCCTGATAATAACAGTCCTTAATAAGGATTATCATCGGGGTACTATACTCCCTGTTAAGGAGCTCTTAGGATAAAGGGCAACATCCCAATAGATGACCCCAACTGTAGGGCTCATGTTGGTACCCCCCAAGGTACTTGCTGTTTGTGAGGATGAAGGCGCTTCTCAGCGCAAAGGCCGGACTGGTCTGAAACACCACCTCCGCGGGGCCTGGATCTTCTGCACCTGGGATGACCCCGGGTTAGGGTTTAGGGTTTAGGGTTCAGGGTTCAGGGTTCAGGGTTCAGGGTTCAGGGTTTAGGGTTTAGGGTTTAGGGTTTAGGGTTTAGGGTTTAGGGTTTAGGGTTTAGGGTTTAGGGTTTAGGGTTTAGGGTCTCAAACCCAATAAGGGAACATTTATCTAGGATCCTCTTAAACAAGGGAAAATACAAAATATCCCAAGGGCCTACCTAGCCACCTTGCCCTTCGCCAGCACTCCCATCGTACGCAAGCTCTGCAGGCTGTGCCCCCGGCATCGGCTTTCTGGACGTTGTGTGGAAGTAGCTGCCCTCGATGACCTGGGCGACCGCCTTGAACTTCTTGGCGCGCGCATGTTGGAGGGCAGTTTTGCCATCCTTAGTTGTCCAGTAACCTCGGGGAACTGAAGGTTAACCTTTGGGATTATAAGGGGATCTTATTACCCCAAAAAGGCTAAAGGTTGCCTACTCTACTACTAGGCATCATCGTTCAGCACGGCAGGGTCCGCTTTGGAATCCAAGAGCCTTTGTGCCATGGCCGTGAGCCCCTTGTGCGCGGCCATGTGCAACGCCGAGTTCCCCGAACAGCCTTTGATGTTGGCTTCTGCTTTGGCCGCCAGCAAGGCGTCGACCATTTTCTGGTGATCGTGGAGGATGGCCTGGCCCACCAGACATGCGAGTAGTTCTCTAAATTCAGTTCCCTTCTTGGGTCACCTACATACCACCCCAAAAGGGGCCCTACAGCAACTTGGGCGATTGACGGGATCTCAAGGTTCCATAACATGTGGACATGTGACTACGTGCTCGCATTCTCCTGCTCCCGTCAGCATGCAGACTTCGAAGTGACAATGGCCAATTCGTCCCAACCCTTCCCAACCCTTAACAATCCTTTGTTGGCCGGGAACGGAGGAAACTCTCGGACCAACAAAACCGCGAACCTTGCCCTGGGACCCCCCTCTAGGAAGTCTCTGGGACGCCTGGGACCGAAACCGAAACCCTTCGTGGACCCCCCCCCCACCTATCATGACGTGCGTAGTGCTACACCACGTGACATTTGACTTGTCTTTCCTTCGTCTGCGATGCGCACGCTACACCCCGCGTTGGGCCAGCCCAGCTGCCGAGGAGGCCCGCACAAGCATGTACAAATACGTACGTGTTCCTGGCTGAACTCGGGTGATGCTCACCAAAAAACATCGTCGCTTTTCTCAGAGATGTGCTCGGGGTTCCTAGGAAAAGGAAGGAGACGCAGGGGGTTCAAAGACTGCACGCTTTTATTTACCGTGCCTCTTTCCCTTCAAGACAGAGAGTCCTCCGGCCTGATGCAATGGCGAGTCACCATTGTTCTCCGGAGCGGCTGGATTTCCTGTGGCGTCTAGGAGCGTTTGCATGATGCAGGCCAGCTCATCCTTCTCAGAGCTGCTGTAGCACGGGATCCGCGACACGACATGCAAGGCGCTTCGGCCCTTGCCGTTCTTGGCATTGCAATCCGCCTTGGCTTCCAGCAAGTCTTGGATGGTTCGTCTCCGCCGCCGGTGACAGGCTAGGTGAAGGGCAGTGTCACCCATGTTCGTCTGCGAGGAGAGAAGCTGCACAGGATCCGCACGCAGCAAGATGCTCAAGGCCCGGTCCAAGCCCATGCTGCGATCTGCACCGCGTTGATGCAGGTTGCCTTCCTGACCTCAGGAATAGCTTGAGGGTTTAGGGTTTAGGGTTTAGGGTTTAGGGTTTAGGGTTTAGGGTTTAGGGTTTAGGGTTTAGGGTTTAGGGTTTAGGGTTTAGGGATTGTTTGGAAAGTGTGGTCCTTCGCATGGGGCAGATTCCCCTGAGTCCAAGCCTCATGGCAGGTGTCACAGAAATCGAAATCCTCACATTGCTGGCAATGAAAGCGACGTTTTTGGGGCACTGCGTTGCAACCATCGCAGATGAAACCACTGTGAACCACCAAAGGTTCGCTGGGGTGATCTCGGTTGGCCTTTCTGACTACCACTTGCTCCTCTCTGCGGGCTCCCCTGGTGACAGTAGACAAGCTGAAGTCTCTCGCGACTTCATGGACCACTGACCGCTGCATCTTGGTGAGGCACACGGGGTACTCCAACTCTTCCTGGCTGCCGCAGATGAATTCGTAGAGCTGCTTCCTGACGGCCTTGATGACCTCGAAACGAATGTCGGGCAAGACTTGCGATTGCGATCCCACATCGCTTGTCGCATGCCTTCGGAGCACCACACGTAGCTTGTTGCCCTGGCGCTCATTCTCCACCAAGACCTGGAAAGCCCAGTCCTTTCCCTGTGCTTCGGCCTCTCTCCGAATGGCCGCCCGCCTTCCCATGCTTCTACCTGGGGGGACCAAACGTCAAACGAACCCTAAAAGAGTGGATGGGTATAGCAGCGTAGTGTGACCCCGAAACCCTACACCCCAAACCCTAAACCCCAAACTCCCCAATGACAGGGTTCATTTAGTTCCCCAAGGTACCCTGTAGAATCATACCATATAATAACCCCCATAAAACCCCATTCTAATTATCACGGCCCCTTTTTTTGTAGTCCCCAAGGTACTCTCCAAATCCCATTACCCTAAACCCTAAACCCTAAACCCTAAACCCAAGGTACTCTCCAAATCCCATTCGAAGGGATACCCCTCCAGAGAGTCGTCCTCCGCGAGCCTTTGGAGCGCCTCTCTCACTTCACTCCCGACCTTGGCTGGGCCCCCTCAGAGCCCTCTGATCAAGCATTCGGTGTAGGGTTTGGGGTTTAGGGTTTAGGGTTTAGGGTTTAGGGTTTGGGGTTTGGGGTTTGGGGTTTGGGGTTTGGGGTTTGGGGTTTAGGGTTTAGGGTTTAGGGTTTAGGGCGAAGATGATTCTCTTCAACCCAAGAAGGTGAAATACAAGAGCTTTCAAGAGCCTACCCAGTGGCGCGACTCTCCTCACTTTCCCCCACTGGGGAGGCGCTCGGAGCGTTCGTCACCGTGATCTGCCGCTCTCCCTTGGAGCTCTTTCCTTTGCTTTGTCCCTTGAAACTTGAAACCCTTGCCCTTGCCTTTGCCGTCCTTGCCTTGGTGTTTGCCTCGTCCTTTACCTTTCTCGCCTTCCACGTCGACGGTTTCATGCACCCAGCCCTTCTCCTCGGCGACCTGGTGCACTAGGCGCCGCTGGAAACTGTTGAGGGTCAAAGGAAAGGCATGAGACTCCCCCGGCCTCAGATGCTCCAGCTCCCGAAGCACCCATTCCCTGACCTCTGCCTCTCCCAACTTCTGAGTTTGGGGTTGCTCAGATTCGACAGGGGCCAGGCGCTGAACGGCAATGTGGCTGCCTTCGGACCTGGAGGACCAACCCCTCCTCTCCACCTCCTCATGCAGCATCTTCCGGCGGTACGAGGACAAGCCGCGGCCCAAATGTATCTCGTCGCCTTCCTTCAGGGCGTCCAAGTCGCCCCGTAGCTCCTCCAGGAAATCCTCGTCTCTTTCTGCCCTGGGCCTCTTCGACGCCTGCTCCAACGCCTGCCTCACGCACACATTCTGCCCTTCGCTGCGCGAGGACAAGGCCAGGTCAGCGGCCACCTCATGCACCAAGCCTATACTGAACATGGATCCCTAGCAAGAATTAGACCTTTCGCTGCTTCTTGGGGAATTAAAGTACCCCAAAAACATAACATGATTTCCAAGTATCCCCCAAGAAGCGCCGTTGGAAGCTGCTCATGCCGTGGAAGCAGCACTCGTTACCAGGATCCATGTCCTCCAGGCGGCCTGGCACCCGGTGGCGAAGCTCGATGTCCTGCAGCACGCGCTTGGAATGAACCAGGGACCCCAGGTTCTTGTAGACGATGAGCGGCTGGCGCGAGCCATCCTCCTTGCACTCACCCGGCGAGATGCATCTCATGCCAAGGCGCCGGGCCTCGGCGAAGATGATCTCGCACTGCCCCTGCGTCAGCTCTCTGGTGTGGAGAACCTTCAACTCGCTCCGGTCCGGGTTGCGCAGCAGCTCCCGCAACTTGGTGCCCACGTTCCGCTGGAACTCGGCTGCGTCCATCGCGGTGTTGAAGAGTATCCGATCAAAGGGAAAAGCCAAGATTCCCGAGCTCATCAAGCAGAGGCCCATCTCAGTATAGTGGCGCTGGATTCGGAAGTTCTCCTCGTCCCAAGTGAGACACGCAGTGTCCCCGGGTGACGCTTTTGAGCTTACGAGCAGCTCAACGCACTCCGCGTTCTTACCCATCAGGGCAACGTGAAGGACATGGGGCACCCCAGAATCTGTGCTAGACATTGCTTCAGGCGAGGCATGCAAGTCCATGTGCTGCAGCAACTGCTCGAGAAGGGGCGCGTTGCCAGAGAGAGCTGCCTCGTGCAAAGGGGTCCAGCGATCACGATCCGTGCACTCGTTCACTGGCCGCTTTGGGAGCACGCGCTGCAACAATGCATAGCTGTGCTTTCGATGAGTGGCCAGGAAGTGCAAAGGCAGACGTCCATCAGCATCAGCAGAGTTGATGTCGGCACCAGCATCCAAGAGCATGGTCACAAGCGCTTCGCGGGGAGTCTGCTGAAGAGCTGCGTGGAGTGGCTGGCATCACACAGGTTGCAATCTGCACTCATCTGGGTCAGCCAGCGCACGCATTCCTCGTGGCCGTGCGTCACAGCCCGGTACAGAGCAGTCCTCCCACGCCTGTCCTGAAGGTCTGCCAACTTTCCCATCTTCTTCAACACTTCGGCGTTGTACGCATCCTTCTTGGCAACCCAAGACAGCTCACCAGTGCCTTCTAAGTGCAACATGGTCCACACAAGGGTGGATTGCCCGTAGCCAGCGGCCCAGTGCAACGGGCTGATGCCCAAAGAGGTGGGGAGGACCGGGATCATGCTTGGCTGCCAAGAGGAGCTTCGCCATCTTGCCAAAGACCTGGGGGGGCTTTCCGTTCTTAGGGGGGGGGGGTCTCTTATTTGGGGGGGGGGCCTTATTATGAGGGAATCTCTACTAGGGGTCCCTAGTATTTTCGGAACCCCCCACCTCAGCCTTCTTCCGCCCAGCTTTCAGAACCGCCAGGTGTAGGGGCGAGAGCTCCGCAGACGGCACCTCCCGACCCCTCGCCAGCAGATGCTGCACGCACGTGAGGTGCCCGGTCCGCACCGCATCCTCCAGGGTGCCGCAGGCATCACCTTACTGGCAAGACCCAAGGAAGTAAAAGTTGAAACTTTCAGAATGAACTACCTTGTAAGACGCCCAACAGCTGAAAAGTTGGGTTTTGAGCCAGAAAGTCACAAGAAGAGCCGAAGGTCACGACCAGGGATGTGAAGCTTGTCATAGCCTTAGTTGTCCAGTATCCTTGGGAAGAGAAGGTTAGCCTTTGGGAATACACAAGAATTCCACAGAAATCGAAAGGGTACTTACTCTACTACTCAGTAGCTGTCGTTTCCAGGTGCTCTAGCACGTTCTCTTCCTTGCCGGCCTCCGTCAACAAGCTCGAGAGATCGTGGCCCCGTGTGGCCTGGAGCTTTCTCCAAAGGGCAAGAAGACGCCCCAAGTCTGAAACCACCAAGTAGCTAAACTCCGCCTTGCTATGACGGTAGGGTCGCAATTCCTTGGCTTGCAGCTCGTCTTTCTTGTTCATCTGGCCCGGAGGGCTGACCTCCGGCAAAAATTCTCAGCACAGAAGGATCCGGGCTGTTGCTGGTTTCGGAAAAGATGAGCAGAACACACAGGGAGTTGCTCGCCCTGAGGTTCACGACCTTCTCGATCTTGTCCCGAGCAGCTGCCATGCGCTTAGGCAAGGCCAAGAAGAGTACCACATCCTCCGGCCATGTTAAAACTTGCTTCATGTGCACCTCCAGACCTTCTAATGCACCGCGGCCCCCTTGGAAGTTGGCCTCTGCCAGCCAGTCATTCAGTTCTCTCAGCTCTGCACCCACAGGACTGCCCTCACAAAGAAAGCAGCTTCGCCGGAGCTGCGCCATTGCAGTCCCAAGTGTTCCGGAAAGAGTTGAATTCTAAACGGTTCCAAGCTCACTTCGAAGCTCCCTTACCTCGCTATCATCTTGCTGCTTCTGTCTCTCCATCTCCTCTTGGGGACTCGAGTTTCCTCTGCCCATGGCTCCAAGACAGGCACGTCAAGACCCTCCTTAGCCCTGCATGACAGCCCTAAGCCTGTTCCCTAAGCCCTAAACCCTAGACCTTGAACCCTGAACCCTAAACCCTGAACCCTAAGCCTGAATCATTCAATTCCGACGCTCTGTCCTCAACATGAACATGCTGGGGGGTGCAAACCCGTCATCAGCATGAAAGCTAGACCTATGTCTAAGCAGACCAAGTACCGAAAGAATATCCAGCGACGCGTCACTCTCATATCCACCTCCTTTCATGTCCACGTCACCTCCACCCTCATCTGTCCGCGTGGATGCAGAAGTATCAGCCCTTCTTGGACATCGCAGCCCGCCAACCCACTGGCCACCCAAACCTGATTAAAAGCCCTTCCCTCTTTTCTCGCGAAAGAGCATAGGCATCTCGTCGTCTCGAGACATCTTCTCGAGGGGTTTGGGAGTTTGTGAACTGCAAGCACAGAGTTTGGAGGCTTTCTCTTTGGTTCAGGGTTGGGGCTCCCTGGGATTAGGGGTTCAGGGGTTGGGGCTTCAGGTTCAGGGTTTAGGGGGCTCCAGGTCCTCCAGGTTCAGGGGTTAGGGCTTCAGGTCCCCCTGACACAGCCAGCCGCAAGGGTGACTACTGCCAGAGATCCCCTCACGTGCAGGGCATCAGTGGGTTGCTGCTGAAGAAGTGAATCTCAGCTACCCCTAAAACAACCACTGCCCACCCTTTTCAAAACCCCCCCCCCCCCACAAGCCCCTAAGCCCTAAATCCTAAACCCTTAACCCTGGGCAGCAACCCATTGTGCCAGCTGACAAAGGGGGATCTTGGGCTCCCAAGCATCGGATGCAGGGTTTGTGGCGCTCCCCTACATACAACCGCAAAGAAAGTCAGTATTCATACCCTAAACCCTAAACCCTAAACCCTAAAACCCTAAGCCCTAAGCCCTAAACCCTAAACCCTAAACCCTAAACCCTAAACCCTAACCAGCAATAACGGTCCATACTGCAATATCAAGCACGCATCGCCCTTCTTGGAAGGAAAAGCGGCCAGTGCCAGACACAAAAGTAAGATCGCATCGTTTCTCGCCTGAGGCCTGCGATTGGGGTTTAGGGTTTAGGGTTTAGGGTTTAGGGTTTAGGGTTTAGGGTTTAGGATTTAGGGTTTAGGGTTTAGGGTTTAAGGTTTAGGGTTTAGGGTTTAGGGTTTAGGGTTTAGGGGGTTTAGGGTTTAGGGGGTTTAGGGTTTAGGGTTTAGGGTTTAGGGTTTAGGGTTTTAGGGTTTTAGGGTTGGGTTTGGGGTTTAGGGTTTAGGGTTTAGTTTAGGGTTCCGGGTTTCGGGTTTAGGGCTTAGGGTTTAGGGTTTAGGGTTTAGGAACTTTTCCTTAGTAGTGCTAGTATTATTTGTTATTCCTTTTCTTCCCATTCACCACATTATTACTCGTTGCATCCTTCTCATTCCAACTGCTATATGATTGAACACTCTTGCTATTGCAGTCATTGCGAGTGTCCATAAGACTCCGAGTGTTACTGGCATGTTCAATATTGCAGATGTTGTCACATACTAACCCTAAACCCTAAACCCTAAACCCTAAACCCTAAACCCTAAACCCTAAACCCATTGTTCCCAAGTTTATAAGTCCGGCACTGAAAGCTGGCAGCTTCTTTGAGAGAGCTGGGGAGTTCCTGGATGCCCGAAGGAAAGACACCAATCACAATGATAGAGGGTTTAGGGTTTAGGGTTTAGGGTTTGGGGTTTAGGGCTTAGAGCTTAGGGTTTAGGGTTTAGGGGTTAGGGTCCAGGGTTTGGGGTTTAGGGCTTAGGGTTTAGGGTTTAGGGTTAGGGCTTAGAATTTCGGGTTTAGGGTTTCGGGTTTAGGGTTTAGGGCTTAGAATTTCGGGTTTAGGGTTTCGGGTTTAGGGTTTAGGGTTTGGTTTTAGGGTCTAGGGTCTAGGGTCTAGGGTCTAGGGTCTAGGGTTTAGGGTTTAGGGTTTAGGGTTTACGGTTTAGGGTTTAGGGTTTAGGGTTTAGGGTTTAGGGTCCAGGGTTTAGGGTTTAGGGGTGGCAGTGGTTTCCTTCATGTAGTGAATGCGAGAAGGGAAGTCCCTAATTCTCAGAAGCTCCCGCGTACGCGTGGTATCTGCCGTAAGTGCCGTATGGACGGTCACTTTCCACAAAGGCAGAGGCAATTCGAAGACGGAACATTACCGGAAAGTCCTTCCGAATGTAGGGATTACCCCACGTCTGAAACAGAGTTTCGTTGACCCCCGCGGGTTTCCCGTCGCGGTACACGCAGTACGGCCTCAGAGCACTCCGTTTCAGGGTTTAGGGTTCAGGGATTAGGGTTTAGGGTTTAGGGTTTTAGGGTTCCTTCCTGACATGTTTCCTAGCAGCACTTCTGCTAAAAGTTGTCCTTGGGGATATCAACGATGGACAAGTGAGAGCCTACAGAAGAAGAACCTCACAACGCCTTCCTGCAAACTTCACTCCATCTTTCAACAGGTGATGGTCCCGCTGCTAAACCCTGCGCCCTTCACCCTGAACCCGAAGCCCTAATCCTTACACCGTAAACCCTAAGCCCTAAACCCTAACCCTGAGCCCCATACCCTACACTGTGGCCACGCTTGCATGCGCGCAACCCCTGCACCCTGAGGGTTTAGGGATGTTTAGGGTTTAAGGTTTAGGGTTTATAGGGTTTAGGGTTTAGGGTTTAGGGTTTAGGGTTTAGGGTTTAGGGTTTAGGGTTTAGGGTTTAGGGTTTAGGGTTTAGGGTTTAGGGTTGAGTCCTAGATGCCTGAACGCTAAAACCCCCCCGAACCCCCCATACACCCTAAACCTTCCAAACCCTGAGCCCCTACTCAAAAACATCATGAGATACAGAACCATCTAGGGTCTAAGCCCTATACCTTATTCCCTCAACCCAAAAACCTACACCCAGAACCCTAAACCCTAAACCCTATACCTTATCCCCTCAACCCAAAAACCTACACCCGGAAACCTACACCCTGAACCCTAAACCATCAAAGTCGCTCCGAAGCTGGAGGCGTAGGCGGGCACAGGTCTTGAACCTGCCAGGGATCATGTGGCACTCTCGATTTGATTTTCAGGGTTTAGAGTTTCGGGTTTCGGGTTGAGGGGTTCTCAGCAAACAAGAACGCTGCAGGGTCGAGGGTTTGGGCGTAGATTGTCGGTTTCGGGTCGCCTGAAACCCTAAGCCCAGTTCACTGAGACACCTCTGTCCTACACTACACACCAACACCCGCTGCTCGAAGCTGCACAAAAGTTTCGGAGACAGAGTACACGTTGGTATGTTCCTCCTTACACTGACAGTCCTTCATAAGGGTTGAAAAGAACTCAATAATCCCTACACAGGACAGTTCGTTTAAGGGAACATACGCATTCTGTGATCGCACGTGTGCGAGGGAACCTCCCCATAGAGGTTGCCGAGAGTAGAGCCCAAGGCATCCAGCACTTCCATGCCCTCGTCGTCCACCTCAGGGGGCGGGGGGGTTTCGGGTTTCGGGTTTAGGGTGTAGGGTTTAGGGTTTAGGGTTTGGGGTTTAGGGTTTAGGGTTTAGGGTTTAGGGTTTAGGGTTTAGGGTTTAGGGTTTAGGGTTTAGGGTTTAGGGTTTAGGGTTTAGGGTTTAGGGTTTAGGGTTTGAAGTTTAGGGTTTAGGGTTTAGGGTTTAGGGTTTTTCAGCAACTGCCCAGTAGCATGAAAGCCCCTTCATGCAGATCTGGCTAGAATCTGGCTATTATCCGCCGGCCCCTTGAGATGCAAGGACAGCCCCTCCAGGGCGCCCCGGAAAGAGCTTCTCGCGATAGTTCTGTGTGGGGGTAAGAAGGACAAGTTGAAAGCATGTGCGGTTGAGGAACTCGCGTGTCTGTGTCTCTGTGTTTGTGTGTGTGTGTGCCTGCAAGTGCGTGTGGTTGAATTGCGCTGCGCCCAGCGAACGACACACGTGTTAGAAACACGTGTCGGGTACGCGCATGCACGTGAAAACGTGCATATGCCCTACATCCACCACAACGTGCGGGGCTTGGCTTGCTTCGCTGCGTGTTTGTGTGATCGCGTGGGCGTTCGCGTGTTCATGTGCTCCGAAGAAGGTGGGAGCTTCTCGGAACGCAGCTTCAGCAACCCTTCGCGCCACGCAGTGTTCTTTGCGGCCGCTTCAGAAGCCCTCCGTTTCTCCAGGTCACGTTTCGGGGAGGGAGCTCTGTCCCGAAGATATGGACAACATGTCGGGCAAAGCTTCGGAACATAATTCTTTATTGAGCCCCGAACACACGTTTTTTGCACTAGTAGTTGCGCGCCCGGGTTTGAGGTTGCCACCACAAGACATGTTGATATCATGCTCTCTCAAAGGTACCAAAACCCCAAGAAGAAGCCCATCATGAGAATCAGCAACCCCATCTGATTTGCCGGGTAGCCCCGGCCCCCACCCCCACCCCCATGGCGCGAGCAAACCCGACCAAATAACGCTAATGATGTTCTCATGTTCACGCAAAGCGTTGAATTTCGCCCCTAAACCCTAAACCCTAAACCCTAAACCCTAAACCCTAAACCCTAAACCCTAAGCGTTTTTGCTCATCACAGGGCTTCGCCACGTGTGCATTCTTGCAGGGTGCCACGCCACTGAACGCTGTAGCAACAACAGCAAAAGCCAACACACCCTAAACCCTAAACAGGAACCTATTCATTGAGGGTCTAGCAAGGGGAACTTCCCGGCTGCGAGTGACTTCGGAAAGCGGTAGTTACATGGGACTGTGCCCATGAAGGGTTTAGGGTTTAGGGTTTAGGGTTTAGGGTTTAGGGTTTAGGGTTTAGGGTTTAGGGTTTAGGGTTTAGGGTTTAGGGGCTGGGGTTTAGGGTTTAGGGTTTAGGGTTTGGGGTTTAGGGTTCAGGGTTTAGGGTTTTTAGGGTTTAGGGTTTAGGGTTTTTAGGGTTTAGGGTTTAGGGTTTAGGGTTTAGGGTTTAGGGTTTAGGGTTTAGGGTTTAGGGTTTAGGGTTTAGGGGGGTTTAGGGTTTAGGGTTTAGGGTTCAGGGTTTAGGGTTTAGGGTGGGGCCCTCGAACCTCGCCGATGGGGGCAAAGCCATGAGCATCCAACCTGGAGTTGTTTCCGTAGTTCCTGAGCGTTGGTTAGCCGAGTTCCGGGCTGTGGGGGGTTTAGTAGGGTCTAGGGTCTAGGGTCGAGGGTCTGGGGGTCGAGGGTCTTGCGTTGATGGACTTTTGTCCCCTCGGGAAAAGCTTTAATTACTTCGGCACTAACCAGAAACCCTAAGACAACCACATCAAAGCTCTGAATATACGAGACCCCATCCTTGTTCCCGACCCTGGACACCACTGTACAAACTCTCTACCAACCCTACAGCAGTCCCAAAATGAATCCCAGAAATAGACATGATAGTAAGAAGAATAACAAGAATAAGATGAACAAAAATTGAGAATAAGAATAAGAATCTAAAAATAATTCTTGTAATAGTACTCATATCAATATCAATAATCCGAATAGCAATAACACTAAACTGGTACCCGATTCCTTCATTCCCCCCTAGCCAGTACCGAGGTTCACGAAGATCTCCGTGCTGAATCCTAGGGCGCAGTAGTCCGCTGCCGTGCAGTTCGGGCGCAGCGGCTGGCCTTCGTGTTGGCGAGTAGGGACTGGAGGTGAGTAGGGTTTAGCGTTTAGGGCTTTGGGTTTTGGGTTCTGGTTTTAGGGTGTACTTCAAACAGCTACTCAGCTACTCTACCTCTTCCTTCCCTAAGCAACGCCAAGTCTAGTTCATGATTGGGATAATATGATGAAAAATTCAACTTTACATTCCTTATTGAGTTTAAGTACCCTTAAACATGTAAAATGTTACCCCCGCAATGACAAAGAAGTGGCATGGGTCATCAGGCCCGGCTTGGCAAGTCACCGCATCCATGGCAAAGGCCACCCGACCCCGAGTGTTGGTCTCCAGGGCTGGGGCTGTCGCGTTGCTGGTCTTCCACCTTGAGCTGTCGGTATAAAAAATGAGGGACTAGGGTACTACTGCGGGGTTCATATAGGATTCGTGTACCTTAAGCTGTCGGCACTTGGAGGTTCAGGGTACGCATGAACCAGTTTCAATTGCACGTATCAGCCACGTATAAGCCCCTTAAGTGCCCTAATCAGGTTACAGTTGGGTTAAAGTACAGGTATAATTGGGCATTGGGTGCACAAGTACTATGAACCTCCAAGTATAGGGAATGAAGGAATGGGTACTACTGCGGGGTTCATATAGGATTCATGTACAGTTGGCATGAGGTTATGTAAGGCTTGTGGTTGGCGGGGAATGAAGGAATAGGGTACAATCATGGTTACTACAGTAGGTCCGAGTCCTAAAAAGAAAAACCTAAACCCCAAACCCCAAACCCCAAACCCCAAACCCCAAACCCTAAACCCTAAACCCTAAACCCTAAACCCTAAACAGCAAAAGCCACTTGGTCCAGGCGTTGTTGACTTTTGGGTCGCCCACCAAGCCCCACTGGCTGACAAAGCGTGTGCTCTCGTTTCTGTAGTCATTCCTTGAGGGTTTAGGGTATAGGGTTTAGGGTTTAGGGTTTAGGGTTTAGGGTTTAAGGTTTAGGGTTTAGGGTTCCCCCTTATACTCACAGTCCTTAATGGGGACAAAAGCACCCCCCCTACGATAACCCCTATTAAGGACTGTCAGTATAAGGTTCCTATACTGAACTTGGAACCCTAGCAAAAAACTATGTGTTGCTGTTCTTAGGAAGTAGAGTACCCAAAAAACACAAACCATTCCCAAGTATCCCTACGATTCCGATACCCAAACTTAAACAAGTTACTTCCAAGATTCCGATACCAAAAAACATATATACATATCTATACATATATATATATATATGTTCCAAGCATTCCCTTAAGATTCCGGCACCAAAAAAATCACAAAAAAACATGTTTCCAAGCATTCCCTAAGATTCCGATAGATGGCCACCCTCTTCCACCAGTTGAGCTTCGAGAGCTGCCAGAAGCGCTGGGCAAAGGGCGGCGCCCAATCCCGGTAGGTTTTGACCTGGGGTTTAGGGTCTAGGGCGTTGGGTTTAGGGTTTAGGGTTTAAGGTTCAGGGTCTAGGGCTAAACCCTAACTTTTAGGGTTTAGGGTTTAGGGTGTAAGGTTTAAGGCTTGAGGTTCTGACCTTGAAGCTGCGCCCATCTCGAAGCACGAACTTCACTGTAAATGTGGGTGGCGGCTCGGTGTCGAAGCAGGCAGCATCGCCGGGGGGCGCCCAGGCGCAGCGCAGCAGCCGGGCGTTGTGAAAGGAGCCCCCGTGCTTTGCAACCGAGAGTAAGGCTGGGGAGTCGCAGTCCTCTGCACATTGGCAAGAGGCTTCCCAGAACAAGAAGCACAGCAGGAACTTCAACGGCCACATGTGGGAGGCCGGAGCAACCAAGGTTGCGGAGCTACGACTAGGGATTGCCGAGCGACTTTGTGAGCTCAGCACAAAAGCTGCGGGTGCTGAAGATCTCCCGAGGTTGGGGGGGATGTAGTTTATCAAGTGTATCTTGTATATGCACAACAGCATGGTAACTGTCAAAGAACAAACAATGAACACACTCCACGCAGCCATAAGATCTGAATTTGAAAGCCCGTAAGCATGCGGCAAGGAATGCTCCCTGGAGCTGGTTGCTCTAGCTCCATGTTGGTCCTTTCGGGGTTGCCTTTCGCAAAGGCCCCTAGCACATGTCTAGGGCACCCAGAGAGGGACCGTCATTTTTTGAGAACTACCTGCTACTACATTAATGCGTTACTACAATTGTTGCTTTTTCATGCTGAAGTGCTACCACTATATACCCTGTTGTGAAGATGTGTCAAATGATGTCATTCACTTTCCGCTAGCACCCTGGGACCCTGCAACCCAGCCTGAATCTGAAGGTCTGCAATGATTCGAAACGATTTAAAAAAATATAATAACATATGCAACAATGTAGAATGAAATATGAAATACACAATATACTATTGTCTAATCATAGTTTCCTACTTGTATACAAATAACAGAAAGCAAGCAATCAGTGCTCAAGCTGCGACTTCTCAGCTTCAGCAAAGGTCGCAACTGTCTGCCCTCGGACTGACTGTCACCCGCATGGCTTTGATACGGCATTGGGCAGTCACGTTGCGGCCAAAACAGCGAAGCTCAAGGTGTCAACCCTTCTGGGGGTTGGTTTGAGACGAATTCAGTGACGAGTAGGAGGCCGTTTTGTGCTTTGCATTGAAGGGTTCTCGAGCTAGTACAACACATGGCGACGGCTCAGAAAAGCAGCCTAGTGTGACAGCAGCACTCCACAGCTAGGTCAATCATGCGTTTTGCGAAGTCTAAGTTTATACAACTTGCGGATTAGCGGCCTTTACCTGCTTGAAACATGGTGCGGCTGTGCACGCTTTGCAAGTTCAAGGATAGAGCTGCATGTGCAAACAGCACCCTAAACCCTACACCCTCAACCCTAAACCCTAACCCCTCACCAACTGCAAGCCTGTCTCTTTCGCTTTGTGCCCGACGGAGTCTGCTGTTGTATCTTGCCCGAATCTTCAGGACAAAAGTATATATTCGCGCAACTGCAGATGTCAGGCTGCCCTGTGTCAAGTTCATGCTCATAAGAATCGACTCGAAACAGGGGGCAGCCAGATGGATCGGCAGGGGCGCATGCCCAGTCACCACCGTGTCCGCCCACAAACGCTTTGTGACAAGGGGTGGCTGCAGCGAATGTACTTAAACATGAGCTGGTGTGGCTTTGCAGACTTCTAACGGCCTTGCTGGAAGCTGCTGCCTGGAAAATACATGGCACGGTCGGCCACTCCCTGTGCATGGTAGATTGCCACCAGCAATGCAATAAAAGGGGGCGCTAGGAGCACGAGTTGCTGCGCACCACGATTTCTGAATTCACCGTGTATTTTGGGCGGCCACTGCGTGACCTCCTGCAAAGAGATTGGACGCCCAAGCTTGCTGTACATGTTGGCACAAAAAGTCAACCCTAAACCCTAAACCCTAAACCCAAAAAACCCTAAATCCTAAACCCTAAACCCCAAACCCTAAACCCTCAACCCGAAACCCTAAACCCTATTCTCCGTCTGCTCTACGTTCTGGACAGTCCTTGCTACCCCGCCGATGCCTGGGCGTCAAGATGACGGAACTTTCACACAGCATCTGCTCAGATAGCAGCGGACAGCACGGTTCGCCACGACGGCCAAGAGGACAACCTGGGCTTTCCCTGGATGTCCTGGTTTGGGGTTTAGGGTTTAGGGCTTAGGGATTAGGGTTTAGGGTTTAGGGTTCAGGGTTTAGGGTTTAGGGTTTAGGGTTTAGGGTTTGGGATTAGGGGGACCCTTTGGGGATAGATGTCCTGGTTGTAGGCCTGGCTGAAGATCACGTGCTTCCACGGCTGCGGCTTGCTTCCCGTAACCCGGGGCTTGTCATCCACTAGCCTTGTTCATTGTTGGGATAACATTAAAAGTCAAAATCTATGTTCCTTATTGGGTTTAAGTACCCTTAAAGATATATTAAAAATGTAAAATTCTACCCTACTATGACAGAGTAGCAGATCTCCCTGAACGCTGGTCTTGTCTCGGGTGATGATCAGCCGCTCCTGGAAGGAAGCTCCCAGGAGACGCTCCACCGAAATGTACTTCTCCAATGCGCAGGTCCCGGCACCTAGACTCCCTTAGAACCTGACTAAACATAATGTGTGTAATATCCTCTTGGGTTTTATATGAACCAACTAAACAAAAATATAATTCCCAAGGGGGATTATAGGCACAGGTAGGGTGGGGAGCTGTGACGAGCTTCACATCCACGCCCTCCGCCACGAGGGTCTGAAGGGCCTCCACCGCCCCAGGGAGTGGCTCCAGGCTTTCGTAGAAGCCCGGCGACGCCAGGGTCTCAAGGACCTTCGCGCGCTCGGACGCGTCGAAGTTCTCCTCAATCTCGAACTTCGCGCGGTTGCGGACGATCTTCTCCACCTCATGGAGGTCGCGACCTGACGCCGCAGCATAGCGGCGAATGAACTCGCCATCCCAGTCCACGATGGTGTTGTCCATGTCGACCAGCACCGTGCGCCCTTTGAGCTTCGGAGGAGACGCTTCCTCCTTGAGGGCGGCATTTGGCTGCGAAGTCACCGTGTCCAGCAACTCCCGGTAGTGCTCGCCCATGCGGCCGTAGCTGAACTGCTTTAGCACGCGAGCCCTTCCTGCTGCTCCCATTCTCTCGCGCAGCGTCGGATCCTTGTACAGCTTCAACACGGCCTCCCGAATGGCATTTGGATTGCCTGGGGGGACCAGGAATCCCTCGACCCCGTCGGTGACTGCTTCGGGGATGGCATCAATCCGGCTGCACACAACGGGGCGCTCGAAGGCCATGGACTCACAGATCACCAAGGGCAAGACCTCATTGAGGGAAGGCACCAGGACCACGTCGGCGGCCATGTAGAAGCGCAAGACCGCTGCTTGGATGTCCATGACCGTGATTTGGGGCTGTCCCCTCTCCTCCTCCCTCAAATCCTCCCAGCGCCGGCAGGACACGCCGTGGGCAGCGGCCACTTCGAAGATCTGGTCGATGTACTTGATCTCGTGGTCCCGAATGTATCGGGCCCCGACGATGAGCTGCTTCAGGTTCTTGCAGCCGTCCTCCTTGATCAGCCTTGAACAGGCGGTGACTGAGAACATCTGCCCCTTGCGGCTGCAGACCGTGCCCAGATGCAAGACAAGGAAGTCGTCATCGGTGTAGCCCAAGGCCGCGCGCACCTCGCGGCGGTCCTGAAACAACGAAACAAACATGTGGGCACCGACATTTTAAGCAGGGTGTTGAAGCATCAGAAACTTCTAGAAGCTTGAAAAACCTGCCCAGCCTGAGTTTGCTTGAAGTGGTCCAGCTGTTGCAGAGGGATGCCGTTGTAGATGGTGATTCCTGCCTCGGGCCTGAACATGCCGTCATACAGGTGTCGCTGCATGTCCGAGGGGAAGACAATGGTCCCTGCAGCCGCGAAGGCCCTCTTGATAACAGCCGAATCAATGTCCTTGCACATGAAAACCTCCTTGGCGTAGTGGTCGAGTTGGTCCTGCGGCCACGACTCATGGATTACCCAGATGCTCGGGAGGCCAATGTCTGCTGCCATGAGGATGATGTCACAGCGCATGATCGTGTTGGCCAGGAGCAGGCCGACATTGCGCTCCAGGAGCGCCACCCGCAAGTCCTTCAGGAAGGTGGGAGACGTGGTGTCTACGATGGTGACCTCCAGGCCCAGGTTCTCGAAGTCCTCCTTCATCGGGCCAGGCTTGGGAGAAAAGATGGTCAGCGGCTGGCTGTGCTTCAACACCCGGGCAATGTAGAGGCAAAAGTTGTTCGCACCGTTCCTCTCCAAGCTGTGAGTGAACATCGCACAGACCGGGCGCCGGCTGTGCGGAATCGCTCGCAACTCCTCGGAGGTTGTGGGAACATCCGCCGAGCTGAACTGACTGCCATGCAGCACCTGCAAGACCTCATCCACGGCCCCGTTGCTCCTTGGCTGACTTCTGAAACCCCTCCTGAAAGTTTAACTCTAGGCTCCTGATTGCAGTTTCTACCCAAAACCAAACAAGTTAAAGTCCTAGGAGCCAGCCAGAAGAAAGCCAAGGCTCAGTCTGTGTTTCAAGAACACACCCAGCAACTGCTCAGAACTCCAGGCCTCCTCCATGATGGGATGCAAACTCCTGGGGGAAACCCTAAACCCCAAACCCCAAAGCCCAAACCCTAAACCCTAAACCCCAAACCCCAAACCCTAAACCCTAAACCCTAAGGTTGGATGCAAACTCCTGGGGGATGCCGGGCCCTGGCCCTCGCTCGCCTTGCTCTTCCAGGGTTGGCTGGCCGTCTGCCGATTGAAGTGGGCATCCTCAGGGCTGCTGCCTTAGGGTTTAGGGCTTAGGGTTTAGGGTTTAGGGTTTAGGGTTTAGGGTTTAGGGTTTAGGGTTTAGGGTTTCGGGTTTAGGGCTTCAGGTTTCGGGTTTAGGGTTTAGAGTTTAGGGTTTAGGGTTTAGGGGTTTGGGGTTTAGGGTTTAGGGGTTTAAGGGGTTTAGGGGTTTAGGGGTTTAGGGGTTTAGGGGTTTAGGGGTTTAGGGGTTTAGGGGTTTAGGGGTTTAGGGGTTTAGGGGTTTAGGGGTTTAGGGGTTTAGGGGTTTAGGGGTTTAGGGGTTTAGGGTTTAGGGTTTAGGGTTTAGGGTTTAGGGCTCGGTCCTCAAGCTGCTGCGAGAGTGTGAGGCCACCTGCCGTGATGGCGCCATGCGTCACTCGCGCGGCCGCCTGGATGCTGGGGCTCTTGCCTTGCTTCCTGGGATGGCTGGCTGGTTCTTAGTAGGGTTTAGGGTTTAGGGTTTAGGGTTTAGGGTTTAGGGTTTAGGGTTTAGGGTTTAGGGTTTAGGGTAGGATTGAGGGTGGGAATGGGTGCCCTATACAATCCCTTAAGGGGTATATATAGGGCCCTCACTCCCTAGTAAGAACCAGGGGGATGGACCCATGGCAAACAAAAACAAATTTGGGATGCTCCCCCTTATGCTAAACCCTAAACCCCAAACCCGAAACCCTAAACCCTAAACCCTAAACCCTAAACCCTAAACCCTCAACCCTAAACCCTAACAGTCCTTGATGGGGATTCTAGTACCTCCTATGATGATCCGTATTAAGGACTGTTAGCGTAAGGTGGAACGTCCCAAGCTCAAAACAGAAAACATACAGTACATGGCAGACTATGTTTCAAACGCGCGTTCTAATTTGGGATGCTTCAAGGAGTCTGCATGGCATGAAGTCGCCACGCGGCATTCTCCAGGCGCCTGCCCTGGTAGCTCTCATCCTTCAAGGCCGTGAAAACCTTCCAGGAATTGAGGAGCCTCAGTTGCTCAGCTCATAAGCCCCAAGCAAGGTGCACGCTTTCCCAGCTCTGTAAGGGGATTCTAGCCTCCCAAAACGTGTGTCGAGTGTACTCATGCAGCTACTAAGATACCCTAAACCCTAAACCCTGAACCCTGAACCCTAAACCCTTTCGTGTACTCACTCAGCTTCAAAAAGGAGCTCATCAGTGGAGCTTTCAGCCAGGACGTAGATGTCGGAGTTGAAGTCCAGGTCGTCCTGCTCGCCGTAGTGTCGCTCTTCACTGTCCTTGGCTGACTTCTGAACTCGTTGAGGGTTTAGAGTTTAGGGTTTAGGGTTTAGGATTTAGGTTTTAGGGTTTAGGGTTTAGCGATTATGGGTCCTTATTGTAGTTTCTACCAAAACCCAAAACGTTCAAGTCCTAAGAGCCAGCCAGAAGAAAGCCAAGTGTCGGTGCTCATCATGGACAGGCTTCTCCAGGAGCTGCTGCCAGCACGCGTTCGCAAGGCCATGGCTTTCTGCTCTCGCGTCCTACGGGAAGCGGAATCTGTCACTGGCTCGGAGTCTAATCAGTCACTCTGGCCACGGCGGGAGATGAAACAATGGTAGCTGATGCTTCCAATCAGACAGCATGCCGAGAAAAGCTCTCAAGCAAGTGCTGATGGGAGCTGGCAAGCCAGGTAGTCAAACCCAATAGATCTTCAAGTCACTAGGCGCGAAGCTTTTGGGCAGATGGTGCGGTAGAGTATGAAACATGTTGTCCAGAAGACGGACTAGCATACGGCAAAACAAAGGTTTGTGAGTGCTCGATTCTGACAATAATGCCCGACGACGGAAAACCCATGCCGTGTGTGAAGCGGGTGAGTTTCACGAAGTCTGGATCCATCTGCCGGCCTACTGAATTCAATCCGAATCTCAATGAAACATTGTTTTTGGAGACCGCTAAAATTCCCTGTACCATTGAAGGGGAGGATTTCTGCACTAACTCACACAAAGCGCGAGTTGTACATCATACATTGTTCGTGTTGAGTACGGTCAATGGCTTGGGGATCTCGGAGCATTACGAAGCAAGATGTCACTACTTTTTCTGTTTTTGCATCAGCCGGCTCTCGTGAACTGTCATGGCATTTCTGGCATAGATAGGGTGAGAGTTTACGTGCGTCATGTGACGCGCACCTGGGACGACAAGGTCACCAGGTCATCAGGTGCCTTTGCCAGTTGCAGCTGAGATGGCTTCCCCGGGATGCAAGCATCGCATGGCCGAGTGTCCATGAACAAGGTGGGCTCCCCAGGGCGTGGACCATTTCCCTGCCTGGAGATCGCAACCTGCGGCCAGGGAGCCCTTGCCAAGAAGGCAATTAGGGAGTGGCGGGAGCCGAATGCGACTGCACATCATCACACATTCGGGCAAAGACCCAGGAGTCTTTCCCCTGTGAACTTTCAGAAGACTTGCGTCAAGAAACTGGAACCCTCCAGCTGGGACTGAGCTTTTTTTGCACTGCAACTCGACGAAGATCAGCCTTGCATGCTTTGCAATCAGAGTTTGACCAAGCAGAAGCCTGACCAAGGGGAGGCCCACGAGCTTCGCTGAGGTCAAAGAGACTGAGGAGCTTCACTAACCCAAGCACAGAGCCGAGGCCGAGAAGCTTTAGGGCTTTCGGCACATCGGACCGTTGACAGGTTATGGAGGTTGTGGAGGAGAATGCTGTCGATTGTTGGGGAACGTCCAAATTGGGAAATCGAACTTTGGGCAATAATTAGCCAAGCCCGAATGCTCGATACGCGCATTTCGGGTGCGTTCGGGCACCCCTGGGTTCGAAGATGAACGCTCCACGTGTGCATCTCGGCGAACGGGCGCTGGAATAAACTCCAAGCGACTACACTGGTCAAGGCAGAAGCTCAAAATCGCTCCCTCCGTTGTGCGTTTCCCTTCTATGAGATACCGGTCTCGGCAGGCTTCAGAAAGAAAGAGGAAGGGAGCCAGAAACACTGTTTTTGATGGCGAACACCAAGCAGTAGTGCCCCGCCGATGAACTGGCCTTAAGGAGGCAGTACAAGGCAAACAAGGCAGGGAGAAGCCCACCAACGTGTGTGAGACAATCGCAGTGCCTGCACCACCAGGACTTTTACCTGACTTCCCGAAGCGTGAAAAACCGAAGGTCCCTCTGGTACCTTTTCCCTTCAAAGCACGAACCCAAACCTATCTCAACCAAGTGCGGACACGCTCTTTTTCACTCGCAGGCCTTGAGCCAAAAGTCACGAAGTGCGCAAACTAAACGAATTCACATGTGAGCTTAAACTCAGCTTCAGAACAAAGTTCCTACACACTGCACACTCACTCAAGGTAGCGTATTGGGCAAAAACATACACTCGCATGATTTCCTAGGGAAATCATCGAGGCAAAAACATCGAGGATGGGATCACAAAGATTCCCAATCACTCCGAAGCAAAACAACTCTGCACAAGCTGATCCAAAACATGACAAAACCGTCAATGATCAGCTGGCCACATTCCCCTGGTGCGTACTCGCCACCAAAGCGAAACAACCGACACACCAGTCGATCTTTGACATAAAACTTAAACTCATGCAAGATCCCACCATAAGGCAGGTTGTCCTGGGCCCAACTGGCAGCCAAGAGTTGTCCAAACTCGTGACAAACTGATTCAACTTGCATCATCCTGTACTCGACAGGGTTGCCTTGGAAGGTCTCCAAGAGTTCGTGGTGACAAACACGTCAGCCAATGGGAAAAACGCGGGCGGGCCATGGCGGCTTTGGATGCCATGGCGTTCCTCAAACGGCTACGGGGCATCTTCTTCACCCCTTAAGGTTAGCACACACCTCAATTCATGTCCTCGCCATCCAGATCATCCTTTTTCTCCTCTCAACTTTCTTCTTCACGGCATCTATCATCACATTCTTCGATAACCGGCTTGGCTCGGATGTTTTCTTTCTTGCAGCATCCTTGCCAGGTCCGCAATGCTTGATTCGCACGTACTTGCTCGGCAATCCATAACTGGCCACTGACACGGAAGATCCTCTTGACCTTTTTCCCGCTCCATTTGGGCCTTCTTCCTTTTCACCGCGCAATCCCTTCTTTTCACTTTTCTCTCTTCTTCTCGATCCTGCTGACCAACAGCTTTCTTTACCATCTCTCTCAACGCTTTTTTAAGTCGTCATTCTTTGCACATGTCTGCCACACCTGCTGCCACACATTTGATGGCATCATTAGATTGAATCGGAAAGGCTACTTGCAGTTGCATGAGCAGTGTCTGACCAAATGGAAGCTCCGTTTTGGTGTAAGCCCTGCAAATGGATTTTCAGAAGTGATCAAGCGTCCGATAAGGGACGCAGGAAAAGACCCTATCATTCAGTAGTTTTACCATTAGGAATTACTACGTAGAGAACAAATTATAATTGAATTACAAATGAAACGAAGTGAAATGCGTGAATTCAATTATAATGTGAACGAAGTAAACGAAACCATCACCAGTAAACATTAGAATTATAATTCTGCATCCCCCCACCCAACTTGCCGACGGGGGCTCAAAGCAGCAGACGCCTGCACCTAAGCGCACCGCGCCAAGATCCAGAGGTGGAGCACTGGCTAAGCCACTCCGCGTACTCACTTGGAATGCCGGTCACCTAGGACAGCAGCAGTGGGCCGAGCTTCGCACGTGGCTTCGAACAGCAGCGGACAAATATGATGTAATAGCCCTGCAGGAGACACACTGGCAGGAAACCACAGAATTCGACGTGGAGGGCTGGCACTGCGTCAGCTCCGCCAACAAAGGACAGGTGAAGGCTACTAGAACTAAGAAAAAGCAAAACTCAACGGCAGAGGGAACGGAACCGGCACTGCCAGAGGTTCCAGCTCATGCACTGCATGATGACAAGCGTGCCGATGGAGTGATGATCCTTACTGCTCCACACATTCCAAAAGACACTGTCAGGTGGAGCGAGCATAAAAAGGGACGAGTCCTCGAAACAGTATTCCAGTGGAAGGGAGCTCGAGTGCATGTGGTGTCAGTCTACCAACATGTATGGTCCACCTCAAAAACTGCACAGCAAAACAGAGCAGATAGATCTACCAACCTTGCTGCTCTGTCCCGAGCCATTCGAGGGGTACCGCAGAGAGACACACTGATAGTGTTGGGAGACTTCAACTCGACCCTCACGCCGAGTCCCGGAGTGGTTGGTCCGTGCACTCCAGGACCTCCTCCACATCGCAAGGCAGAGGACGACTTCTTCCAGCGGTTAGTTCAAGGACATGGGTTGGTAGCGTTGAACACCTGGTCTTCAGGGAAAGGATTTACCTTCCAGACGGCAACCACGCAGTCGCAACTAGACTACATACTAGTCCCTAAAACAATCTCTCGAGGTGAGGCAAAAAAGAGCACGCCACTAGCCCACTTCCAGCTAGGGAAATGGAAAAAGGGAGGCCGCCTCCCCGTGGCGGCACAAATACGCCCCATGAGGCACTGGCAGCTCCCCCCTCCCCCCCCCCTCCCCCGCCATACGACACACATGCACTCGAACGCGCAGTACGCTACCACCACCCTAAGGCACAAGAAATGAAAGAGTGGGTCGCTGCCCAGCTCCAGCAGCTGGCCTCTCCAGACATGAATTCAGCCAATGAAATCCTCATACAGGCTTCAGAGAGATACTTCCCGCGAGCTCCAAAACCTTCAGCTCCTCCGCTGAATGCCATGCATAGAGCGACTCAAAGAATGTGGTCACGTCTGACTGCGCTGGATGAAGACCTAAGAAGTCACTCCCTGACGCAGGCAGACCACGAGGTGTTGGTCAAAGACCTGGCGACTTGGCATAAGCAGGCAGTATCATTGGCAAAGAAGCAAAGAGTAGCCGACTTCACAAAGGAGGTGGATCACTCAGCCAATACGGGAGACTCTTACTTGAGCCACAAAACCCTGAAAGCTCTCCGACCCTGGCAACCGCAGCCGAAAACACAGCTGTTGAACCAGGACGGATACTTAATGGCAGCCGAGGAGGAACTCCTGCTAATGAAAGATCATGCTAAGGCGGTGTTCCAGAGGCATGACAGGTTAGATGTGCTGGTGAATACACTGCCACAGCTGCAGGCTCCAGCATTGGCCAAGCACATAGGCTCCATAAGGCCACACAAAGCAGTACCCGAAGGTTCAGCTTCGGCAGCAGCGTGGAAACTGTGCTCAGCCTCGACAGGAGACGTGCTCCAGCAATACTGCCAGGCACAGAGCCTCAAAGCTGAGCACTGCTCAGTGGATTCATCAGTGACACTTTCAGCACCGCTGAAGGATACTGACCTTTGCTTCATTCCCAAGCCGAATAAGCCACCAAACAAGCCCACTAATCTTCGCCCACTGGGCATTATACGACCAGATGGCAAAGGATTGGCAGGAGCATGCAGGGATCTGCTAGCTCCCTATACGTCCAGCTACCTCAAGCCAGTGCCTCAGTTTGCCTATCAGCCCAGGAGAGGGCTGTCGGATGCCCTGTCCAGAGTCTCGCAACACACGCGCGAAGTCAGGCAGGCCTGCGCACAAGCCAGACTCAGCAGACACAGCCAGCATGCAGGCCATGCCAAGCCAGAGCTAGTAGGAGGCATTTGCTTTGCACTGGACCTCTCTCAAGCATTCGACATGGTGCGACGACAGGACCTCATGGACACCCTGCAGGAGGCCAACGTCCCAATCGCGGTGCAGAACTTAGTGGCGTCTTTGCACACAGACAGCCGCTACAAAGTCAGATCACAGCAACGGACATGTGAAGTAGAATCGACTACAGGAATAAAACAAGGATGCAAGCTCGCCCCCACTCTCTTCTCGATGCTCACAGGCAAGCTCTTTAAGGAACTATCGACAGTTGTGGGCAAAGAAAGGATGCAGCAATCTCTCACAGGCTATGCAGATGATATGACGATCCATCACAACATCAGCAATTGGGAAGACCTGCTAAAGGCTCACCACATGATAGCAGAGTTGCTCCGCATTGTTCGTAAGTACGGCTTTAAGGTGAACCCAGAGAAGTGCCACTTGATGGTAAAACTCGTAGGTACTGCCTCCTCCAGAGCACACAAACTCTTCCCCGGATTCAGACGTGTCATTAACAGCCCAGGCACTTCAGTACGCTGAAATGGTGCTGCATGAATATGATGCACTGCTGACTGCGTCGCAAGCAACGGCAGAGGAACCGACTCACAAATGCCGGTTATGCTCCTTTAGCTCTAACTCAGAGCAAGGCCTAAAGATTCACGAGGTCAAAAAGCATCGAGAGCAGTTAGACAGATATGTACCCAAATCATTCCTACCAGAACACTCCAAAAACGGCCTCCCAACCTGTGCAGCGTGCTCCAAAGAATTTGCACTGTGGAAAGGCCTAAAAGACCATCTACTGTCAGGAGCCTGCCCCAATCCAGACGCCCTGCGAGCACTGGACGCCCGAACCTTTGAGCTCCACACCCAACAAGGCGCAACAGAGGTGATGCATGCCTGGTCTAAGGCATACCTAGAGAGCACGAAAGACACACACACGGTCACTCAGCTCGCAAGGCAACATGACTCCAGGCACTTCGTGCAACACTGCGTGATCTGCGGTTTCTGGACTCCTGATCATACCAAGGTGAAGTCCCACATTCACCAGGAGCACCGAAAGGCTTGGGACGCCCTGCACACTGACACGGCTGAGAAATGCCGGAAACTCGGGGCCGAAATATCTAAGGGCAGTTCCTGCCCATACTGCAGGAAGCCAGTCACTGACAGGCGCAAACACCCAGAACAATGCGGCGTGCTTTTTCAGATCATCCTGGGCGATTCTTTCCTCCATCAACACAGAACAACGACAGGACCGATCCAAGCCTTCTTCACCAATGCAGCTTCACGCCCTAAATCAGAGCAGAAACAACACCAGCAGCAGAGCACAACCCCGTCCACACCTAAGAAGCCAACAGGGCAGCTCCAAACCCCTCTCTCCTTCTCATCTAACCGACCCGAATCGTCACAACCAGTGAGCGGCCCTTCTTTCTCTCATGCCCATTCAATGACCTCATCTTCCTCTCTCTCTTCCTCCTCCCCTCCTGCCGCTCTCTCAGCCCTTGCACGGCTCCAGCTGAAGAATACCTCTAACTACTGCTATATTAATGCCACAATTTTATCGCTGCTGTCGACCTCAATTATTGATCCGAACCTGCGCTCCCTTCAAGCTCTTCACACCCTGCTGAAAGGCCCGGAAGGTACAGTAGGTCCTACCGCCCTCAATGTAGTAAACTCATTCCAGCTCAGGAATTTGCTGCCAAGATGGCGCTTCGACGGCACACAACAGGACTCGGCGGAGTTCCTACAGTGCTTACTCACACCCTCACACGCAGGGGGAATAGTAGACCCAGCAACGGGAAGGCTGGCTGATGAGGGAGGCCCCATTGTCATGCTGCTACAACATTCAACTAGCAGCACGCTGCAATCCTTGATAGATGCCTGGTCAGTAGCTCCTCCTGACTCCGCACTGATGGGGCAGCAGACACATGCCATCCTTGCAGTAGCCCGATTCACAGGGGCAGGTAAGAACCACCACCCAGTCACGGCTATTAACGGCGATCTCACTATCCCAGTGTTACAGGGCGGAGTCATCAGCAGAGAGCATGCTTTTGTTCAATCTTGTATTTTCCACATAGGACCCTCCCCACACAGCGGCCACTACCGCACGAAATGGAGGTCATCGCCTACCTCACCCTGGCAGTCGACCGATGACCAGCGCAGCTCTCAGCGAGCTACGGAATCAGACCAACGGCAAGTCAGACACGGTTCCTATCTCTTCTTTCTCACCTTTCGAGCGGAAGTGCCTGCAATAGTAACGCTTTAGTGGCCGAATAGCACCAACAGAAGTGAGGAGTCGTAAGAACTCCCCACCTCTCTTTTAGAGTCGTAAGCACTCTTTGCTAGAGCCGTAAGCGCTCTCAACCACTGGAGTGTTGCAGCAGCTTCGGCTTTGCACTGCAGCCGGAGCCTCTCAAACAACTAGAACAACCGACGTAGCTAGAACACAGAGAGCCCAGAGAGCGTCAGCATGCTTGGTCAAGACCGTCGGGATGAGCGACAAACTGAGAAGCGAGCACGGACATCCGGGGCGGAACAGCTACCTCGCACAGATGAAGGAGGAGAAATCCATCCACTCTCACCGACGGATCTCACCCGAGGCTTCCTGATTCATGAGGATCAGATCAGCAGACTGATGCACCAAAGCACGCTGGTGATCAAGATGACAGCCTCAGCGCCACTAGCGTCTAAGCTACTTGAAGCAACAGCGCAGTGGAGGCGAGAGCATACCCGAGGCAGGCCACATCCCAAGGGGCCAATTTATGTGGCAGTGGCCCACCAACTACTGTCAGAACTGCAGGAGTCACAGATGCCAAACGGTGTCAACCAGAATGCCTGGTCTACATTTATGGACGTCATCTCTGACCTGACCAAGAAGGCACCACCGAACCCCATTCTCGAACAAGAGCTGGTGCACTGCTCAGCTAGGCTGACAGCAAGACGAACAGATGTTCTGATAGAATTTCAGCCCCACCTCATGGGCACGCTGCAGAAGCATGCCAACATCTACGTGAGCGCCATGCAGCTTCAAGGCGGCGAGCTCCTCGGCAGGCGACCGCCCGGGACTCTCTCGCGGAAGGCCAGAGGCTTGCCGATCACGTCTGAGCAAGGATAAGCCACCTAAACACGGAAGATCCAGCACCCTCTTAGTCTGACACTGTCAGAGCCACTATGGGACACTGTCTCAGCACGCTGCTTATTGCTCTGCTAATAGCTCAGCTAAGGCTCCGATAAGGCCAACGCTTCTGGCACTGCCAGTGACTGGCAGCCATTTTTACAGCCCTTCTTTCCACTTTTAATTCCTTCAACAGACCTACTGCAATAGCGCGGACATCACAAAATCTCTCTGAGTGTGCATTCTGGGTGTTATTATTTGGGGATGCTGGCAATACAGACCCTGCTTCATGTGCAGAATGGTTATCGCAGCTAAGGGCCACGCCCCATTCCTTGTGTTCGTCACCAGAAATGGCAGTGTGAATGCAGCCACTTCTCTCCCCGTCCTTTCTCCTCTTCTCCTTCTCTTTCCGGTTCTTCCTGCTCCTCTCCGCTTCCTTGAATAGACTCTAGCCGCCCGAGCATAAGGCTCAAACTGCTGCTTGGCCCAGCCCAGTATACCCTGCCTAAGCTACAACGTATCATGCCCTTCATTGTGGACGACAACCAATTCCCTCCAGAACAGTACGAGTACTACTTGCGTCTCTTTCATCAGAACGTTGCAGCTCACAAACGCGAAGCTGAGCAAGCTGCTAAGCAAGCCACTTCCAGCCTGGAAGGCGTTGACGACAAGCAATCCAGCTCCACAAAGACCAAGTCGACATCGGACGCCACTGGCCCCCAGCTAACACGCCCGACACGGAAGCCGCCTTCTCCTCCGAAAGCGCGGTCCAAGAAGCAGCCGACAACGCACTGGCGACCGAAATAAGCTATTGACAAGTGAGAGTCGCGGCACTGCCGAGCTCGCTTACACACACTGTGTGGGGCACCGGAGTGTTCCTCTTTAATTTAGCCCACGCAGCAAAGCCGAGGCAACTGATTTCGAAGCCTGGCACATTTCGAAGAAGACGAGTCAAAAAAAGGGAGCGAGAGAACACTGACCCATGATCTTAGTGAGACATTCGATGCTATTCATCTTGCCTCCAGCCTCTCTTTCTCTTTCTTCTCCCCTCCTTCTTCTCTCCCGCGCCTACTGTGGCAGATCATGTTCAAAAGTCCGGGCACAGCGGCAGGAACACTTCCCTTCAACTCTTTTGCAGCCAGCAATGGCCATGGCGGGAGCTGCTCAACGCAGCAAGCAATTCCAGCTGCATGAGGAGATGCTGGGCAGGATCACTGCCCTACACAAAAGCTCTATCGCCAGGGCACTCATGGAACCTATGGGCCAGCAAATTGGCCATGGCAGCAGTGCGTACGTGACCATGCTGGCCTACCCGACCCCGGAGGGACATCGACTGGTCGTCAAGCGTGCAAAACAGACTCGGGAGGCCGAGATGCAAAAAGAAATTCACCGCCTACGGCGACTCCCGACGATCCCCCTCTTTCAGACCATCCTGCACACTGAGGTCGGCGCTGCGGTCATGCTCACACTGTGCACAGTCGAGGAAGGCATCAAGCAGCACCTCTACCGGAAAAAAGCCCGAGAAGGGTTGACCACCACTTTGCA